CTGGTCGATCCCCAAACTCGGCAGTTTACTCAACAGCAGTGCGTGATTGAGCCGGTCGAATGCTTTTGAGAAATCCACGTAAACCACGTCAGTTGGAGTATGATTGTCTGCCTCTGCAGTCCAGGAATCAAGGGCTGCGAGAAGATTCGTGGTGCACGAGTGAGCCCTGCGGAACCCGTGCTGTTCCGGGGCTATTAAGGACAGACTTTCTAAATGGCAGCGCAAGAAATCGGCTATGATAGTCTCCATTACTTTGGAGGCAGTGGAAAGCAGTGCTATCGGGCGGTAATTAGAGGGATTTGTCCTGTCACCACCCTTGTATACCGGCGTTATGACCCCTTGCTTCCAAGCGTTCGGGTATTCGGCACTGGTGTAGGAGCGGCTGTACAGTAAGGCAAGCGGCTCGGCCAGTACAGTGGCGCACTCAAGTAGAAAAATGGGAGGGATCCCATCCAAATCAGGCGATTTGTCTGTCCTTAATTTTTTTAATTTCTCCAGGACTTTCTCTGATGTAAACTGCACGGGATGTCTGGCAGTGACGGGGGTAAAGTTAGCATCTTCCATTGTACTGCGTGCGAAGGTGCCGAAAACGGACTCGTACTGAGTCTTCAGCAATTCCGCAGCTTCTTTGTCCGACGTTGTGGTATTGCCTACGGGTCCGAGCAGGCTGCCAACGGCAGCGCGCGATTTAGTGAGAGACGCTATACGCTTAAAGAAGACCTTGGGGTTATCGGCGAAGCTTTTAACGAGAGAGAGCTGGTACGCTTTTCTGTCCTGGCGAACAGCTGCTATACAGGAAGTTCGCACTCTGCAGTATTGTGCTCGCGAATCGGAGTCGCCAAAAAGTAAGAATCTGTCCCAGAGGGCCTTCTTCTCCCTGATCAGCCTAAGCGTAGCAGGCTGAAGTTGCCTGTGGCGTTTCGGCGCATAAGCGCGCACTGTGGGGACGTGTGCCCTAATTGCGTCGTGGATGTGAGCGGCGATGTAGTTCCAATGGTCGTCGACTGTGGGGGTTTGTGCTGCCAGGGACCAGTCGACTCGTGAGAGGAAATCTTTGATGGCGTCATAGTCCGCTCGACGAAAGTTAAGCCTGATGGGTAGTGCTTTAGCGTTGAGCGTGACGTTCGCCACCACACGAAAACTAATAACTACATGATCACTTGCACCAACTGGGGCGCTCAAATTAACGTTGTCAATTAGATGTGGCTCGTTGGTGAGCAGCAAGTCGAGTTTCGACGGGTTTTGACCGTCTCGCCACCGAGTGTACTGCTGTACGTGTTCGGTTAGGCCATGTTCTAGAACACTGGCAAGAAACTCAAGGCTGTGCTGACTGCGAGCTTGGCCAGAGGTAAAGTCTATCTCCGGGAAATTAAAGTCACCTGCGACAAGTAGGGGGGCACCCAAATCTGAAGTAGCTGCTCGGAGGGCGGCATTCCAGCACCGCAGCCATTCTGGCGCAGCTGAGGGAGGGCGATAAACCACTCCAAGGGTGAGACTGGTGGAACCAGAGCCGCGGACGCGAATCCAGAGGGATTCGGGAAGAGATAGTAGTTCCGGAGATTTGAGAGGGACGCATGTGAGGCGGTCTGATACATACACAGCTACGCCGCCGCCTTTGCCGCTTTCACGATCGTTTCGAAAGAGCACGTATCCCGGGATAGCTACCTCGGCGTCCACAAGGTCCGGGCAGAACCAGGTTTCGGTTATACATATAACTTTAGCTTGCGTGTCCAGCGCAAGGGAAGAGAGTTCGGACACCTTGTTCCGTAGCGATAAAGCGTTGGTGTACAAGCAGTTCCACGTGCTAACATGAACTGCTGGTGGGCAGTGGCTTGAAGGCATAGATGGTAGGGTAGTTCCAGTGTGGTTTACGCCGACCCCACAGGGGCCGGCGCCTATTCGTTTTTTGTTATATCCACAAGTCGCGTAATAGGTAGTGATGGCGTGGCTCGACTGAATGGCGTGGAATTACGTCCCTGAATTTGCCTGCGCTCCTCCCGCGGTTTGTCTGGATGCATCCTGACTTCGTACGGGAAGTTTCCACGTAGCTCGTACCACCGTTGTAGTACAGTCTGGCGCATCTCAGGAGTGAAAAGAATGACCCTGAGCAGTTTAGGCGCCTGTATCTGCGAGAGGTGAGCTGGTCTCGGCAGCCGGTGAACAGACCATGCCCCACAGTTGTCCACTGATAGGTTAAGCTGCGACCGAATATAGCACCACTGCTGAACATCGTGGCGGGATGATTCAACCGGGTCGGCAGTGTGGAGTTCTGGGACTCCGTGTATAATTATACTGCAAGCTCTATCGTGGTTGGCGCACGTGCTGTTGATACGCGCCTCTCTTCTTGCCTCCCTCACAACCCAGGGAAAGTCTGGCTGGGCGCGGATCTTTGTGTTCAGTTTATTCAAGCAAGCCGATGCCAAGAGCGTTTCCTCGACGTCATCAGCACTTTCCAGAGTGACGCGTAACGGCCTTGGGCGTTTGTCACCTGGTGAGCGGGGTGCGCGTAGACGGCAGAGAGAGGGCAAGGAGGTAGGCGGCAGTCCAAGGAGTTGCCGCAAGGATTGCCATTTGGATAGATCGGCACTGGCTCTGTGGGATAGTGACGGGTGGTCGCTCTCGTCCACATTGAACAGTATCAAAGTCTTGCGGTTGAATTCTGGCAAGCCACTGCTTCATTCTAATAAATGCTGATGAAGCCGGAGATCGCACACTTTTGACCATTCCACACAAGACGAAATGGCTGTCTGGCGATTCCCTCCATTGACTCTCAGCGTTTTGATTTTTATAATCGGTAAATCACTGTAACCACTCTTCCCCTTGGTCCGTGTTTTCTGGAATGGATCCAACTTCACAGAGCACACACGTCTGCTAGCTCCTCCGTTTGTGGTGTTTTCACCTTTCGTTTTGTCTCTTTTTCGGTCTCTTCTACCAACCTTCTCTTTGGGCCAACTTGCCCGAGCGAAGGCTCTTGCGACCCGCTTGATATGGTAAGTTGTGTGCAACACTTGACACATGTAGGTCCCGTAGGATGGTTTTCAGTTACTTTGCACTTCGAGTTTGCCAACACCGTAACTCTCTCCCGTACTCAACTGGATCCTATCCTACTATGGATAATTTCAAAGAATGATTGAATTTTTCTCTTAGCTCCTGGCAATTCATTGGCCAAACGAGGTTTTTATTGGTTATATTACTCATGCTCTTCTACCGGACTAATGAGTCACGATGCACCAATAAGGTGATGCACGGGTGATCGACAATATTTCACTTCTGTCGCGATTTAGATCAACGATCTTTGCACCCCGTTTATTTCTATATGCATACATCGAATTATGTTTTACAGTAACGTTATTTATCCACGCATTTATCTCAGTAAACGCTGGGTAAATGACTTCTATGTCTGATAATTTTGTAGTATGCATCCATCATCCTACGGGGCTGGTCAAGTACCTGCCTTTTAAGCCGTGATTAATTAGTTTCGATTGTTTGCTTTTCATTGTTCAATTAAAGTATATACAGCTTCCCAATTTCCTTCTGTTATCATATATGGCTACCTGTGTGGGGCTCATCAATGCTTCCAGCTGATCAATTAGTGCAGCACAAGCACAGTTCGCGGCTTAACTGTTTATCCTTGAGGTGGTCCGCTGTCCGTTCAAAAATCGACCATGTTAAAATTTACACTGTATACCTATTGTACAAATCTTTGCAAGCACAATTTTTCCTGTGCTTATGGTCTATTTACTCCCTAACCACTATTGTTTGTCCTGTGTGCAAAACGGCGATTGAACGAGCCTGAACTATTCCCGAGTGTCGTCAAGGCCGAAGCCTCGTTTATATTAAGTACATGGTAAACGAATCATCGAAAAAACAATTACTTTCGTTGTCCACAGAAACCCTGTAATTGCAGTTGCCATTTCTTCTGCAACTTACGATTGGATCAAATAAAGAGGCCTGTATTTCACTTTGTTAAGAAGCTGCTGTTTTAGTATTGGTTGTCTTGTGAGTACGTAATAGTTGTAGAAAGTGAAGCCATGATTAAACTGCACAATAATCTGCGTCGACGGGGAATCGAACCCCGGACATACGGAATACTGGTCCGCTGTTCTACTAACTGAGCTACCGCAGACTGACGATCAGGTGCGCAATTTCATATATTACTTCTGCTTGTTTTGCGACGTTTTGCCAATAAGCTCACAGTATCTGTCCTTGTGTTGCAGACTGACTCACCCACTCGCCACTTCCCAATAGACCGAAGTATCTGTCCTTCAGGTGTTCAAAGGCCGATGGTAACTTTATTATTGGTGGCTCTGTGAGTATGAAATGCTTGTAGAAATTAGAAGTCACGATTATCGTCATTATGATAGATAGTATAATCACGCGATGTCCAAGTTTGTCAATGTTGACTACAGATGTAACGCCTCAAATCGGCCTCATTTCGAAACTCACGACGCTTTGGAAATTCTCGGAGTCTTCGCTTTTCCGAAGATATTGATTACTCTTTTATCCATCCATCAACTACTTTGGTTATTTGGCATATTCCAAATTAATTGATAAGTACAACCACAATAAGGCGGCCTAGAATAGACACAATGGGTTCAAAATGCTGATACGGCTTTCTTCCCAGTAGTTCACAAGTTCAAGTGGTTCAAAATTTCCAAGCAATTGTGGGACACAAAATAACTGTCGCAAGTTTTCCTAGTATTTAGATATCTCTGGATAATTACTGTGCACCCTACGCTAGGACCTAATGTCGAGGACAGGCTAGATCATAACAGGCATGCATGCGAAAAATGAAGCTAGCTTTATTCCACGTAAAATGGGTTAACCTGAAAGCGATTTAAACGTGACAACTGTTATGAGCTCCATTGTACTACCAGAGCAGGTTGCAGTCGTATTGCATGCTAATAAAACAATCTGGGGAATTTGCTGTGTATTACGGAAAAACACATACCAAAATCATGAATTCGCCAAATAGTATTAATTCAGCGAATATCAACTTGTTATTTAACTATAACCATAAACATTACGCAAACCTCCGTTTGACCATTTTGTTCAAATGTCCATTCTAATATCTGAGCTCCCTGAAAAAAACGCAAAATATCACTATAAATATGATCACAAAGTAATTTTAATATAATTGGTCTTAGCTTATTTCTAATAAACCATCCGTAAACACCATTTAATTACGATTTGGGTAAAGGTTGTTTTCATTTAAATATCGCTAAACAAAGTTGCTAATCTTGGCTTTGTTTTATGATGGAGTTTGGCTTGATCTGTTTATCTACACACCATCAATAAACGGTTGGTTACGTGGTCATTTTACATGTCAATGCTGCAACTTATTCCTTATGCTTATCTGTTCTATGATGAGGAAGTTATGTTCTTAACACACTTACTCCAATACTATTCACATTAATCGATCATGATATCCGAACGACTTTAAGCAGCTGGCGGTCGAAGAACTAATGGTGTCACTTACGGGAGCGCTGTCAGGGAAAACTGGTATCAAATGTGACCATGTGTTATAACTTCCATTTCCCTTGAATTCACAATGTGAAAGCACTTTGTTGTAGCACCAAGTGTCTGAATCAAAAATAACGTATCTTTTCATAGTACGAAGTTCCACTGCTGTTAAGTAAACGGTGCCAAGACTGCTATTGTAATCTGTTAGAAAAGGCATAATTGAAGTGCCTCATTATCAGCGTGTATACAAGCGACATTTAGGTCAGCAATAATGAAGCACAGCTTGCTCACTTGGATCAATATCTACCCATATTTTGGAAAAGTGTCCTCTATATAGCTTGCACGGTGAGTCCCCGCAATTTGCAACCTGGATTTTCGAAACCACGTTGTTAGAAGTATCTGGGGGGACTAAAACGGCAACATAATTATGCTTCTTATAAACATAACAAGTATAATATATGAAGGAATGCCGACTGCAAATAACGTTGGCTTACTACAGTAAAAGAAGGGGACCTCGAATTGTCCTACAACAAATCGAAGAAGAACAACAACTGTTAAAATTATCAATGACATGTTACGCGGATTTTAGTTGGTTTTAGCGTATCATATTAGTACCACTTATATAGTTGCCCTATACAAGAAAATCAATGGAAATGGAAATGAAGTGAAAATATCTCGATATTGAGGACTTACAGTCATGTACACCGTATATTTTAACGAACTCTCGTTCCCGCTATCTAACTTCACAAATTGAAGTATAATCAGCCGAATGTTAATTGATTCCGCCGCAGCCAACTGGCATTGCTTTAATAATAAGACTCGCCGCTAAATTCTTTCATGGCGCGATAAATTTGGCTGAATTTTTGCTTGATTACAAGTCGATCACCTAATGTTCAAGTTGGTCGTCCAGGAATTATTTAGCTTCGATGCGAAATTAATAACTAATGATCGTTTTACTCGCAACTTAAGATTTCTATGTCGGGTCAATAATTAAACTGCGTTAATCTTATTTGCATTTTAATTGCCATCAATCATGTGTGACCATGAAGGACAGTGTGAAAGTATACTGAACCAACAATATGGTAAAATAACTATTTGCTTGATAAAGGGTGTAAAGCCAAAGAGAATTGTGCATTTTTGGCCCAACAGGATTAGCTAGTTAAGGAATGAACAATCTCGATCCCCACACTTACTTACAGAATGCTACACAATTACAAGTAAATTGCAATTATATGTTACACTTGTATAATTTACATAATTACGTTATAAAAAGCTTGACGTTGTCACTTCACCCAAAGGACTTATCCTTGACACTTCAAGATCACATATTTCACCATTGGAAGACTACTGATAAGCAAACTGATCCACTGTGCCGTTTCCGCAAACCGCCGCACGTCTTGCATTATCCAACTTTCCTCATTAGGTTTACAAACCTAGACCGTGTGTTTAGTAAGGGTTACTGGTGCACAGTTCCCCTATGCTGCCTCGTGCGATTACATAGTCTAGGCTACGTATAGTCTTTACAACTGTGTTGGAACTAATTTTCCAGTCACTTCAAAGCAATCACTTACGTAAAGGCAGACTACAAAGTCTAATAAGAAAACCCAGATATACGCAGTATGAATCGGTCGGCAGCTGGCCACCTGCTGTTCATGAAGCACCTATCACTCTCTTGTTATAATTTTGTTCGTTTCCAATTAGACTTAAATATTTAGTTAAATGATACTTTTAATTTAAAGTCACGCTCGGTATACACTTATTACCCTAGGTTCCTGCTGGTCCCACTGCTCATTTTGTATACTTGTAAATTGCTTACAAATAACTAGTCATCCACAAAACCATTTGATCGAAAGAGTTCGTCTGAGGTTTAGTTTATGGTTTGCAATTAAACTGATGAACACATTCTTGAGCCGTCCTTGGTTTCGGAACACTTTCGCCATTGATTACGTTAAAACAGGTTCGGACACTTTTTAATATGTAGCCTTGTTGGCTGGGCACGATATTCACTGTTTTGAGTTTCACTTTAAACCACAGGCGCAATCCATGCATAATATTCTCGTGCATTCCTTTTTAATGTGTAGTTACCGGCATAAATTTAGCGGCCTGCTAACCTGAGACAAATCGCGACTGCGAATTTCTTTGTCTTCTAAATAGCCTTTTTGTGACTTCAATTACCATGGAAAGAAAACTGGGAGACAACGTTTACTGGATTGCTGGTATACAAAACAAGTGTATTTCGCCGAGAATTCGATTTTGATTGTGTTATTTCCGACTTTATGAAGGGCAAGGAATTTTTCGCCTATGCTGTTGATAATAAAATGCTCGCTGTGAGTGTATGAACGCGTCGCAGTTGTTTCGACTCTTAGTGGGAACTGACGAAGGTTCTTCAAGTCAATACCCTATACGCTTAGAGTTGCCAAGCGAATCTGAACTATTGTAGACTAACGGCACCTATGCACCAGACGTACACGTGAGTTGAGACTAGAGACGTCAAGATGTGACCTAGCATTACTGCACTGCAACCGAACGAGGAAGCAAAACTGGCTATCAACATGCTTTCTTTTATTGCTTCAACCAAGGCGAAGCAAGTCTCCTACATCTTCGTTTGGGTAACTCAGTAAAATAGCTTACCCTGGAGGGCGAGTTGAATATTGGTAAGGCACATGTGTTGCCACGCCGTGATAGTGCGCTGAAGGAAACAGTGTTAGAGTGGGTTTCTGCGGGAACTTATGCAGCAACTGAGGAGCTCAGGTGGTTTGCTACGGTGTGAGGTGATAGTTGCATCAGTATCTTGAGCAGAGTTCAGTTGGTTCACTGTGGTTTGGCAGCGATGTCCAGCGCAGTCTGAATCCTCGCAAGTTGCTTGTATGTTTGCACTGAGCCCAAAGAAATTTGCGCAAATTTGGCGGAAGTAGTAGAAAACTGTTTTATGCGTCAAGTGGTTCTGCTATTTTGTTGTAATGTTAAAACGTCTTATTTGTGTTTCTGTCCACCTTACAAAACGTATGTGAAAGCACGCATAGAAATAGGACCTAAGCAATGAAAACCACAACCGCATCTTCGAATAGCATTTGACATATGCTGCAGCAAATCTCTACTCAAACCGCGATTAGAACAATGGGATTGTGCCTACTAAAATTTTGGACGTTCGCTATCTCGTCATTAAGCTACTTAACTTATGTACGTGATACAAATTTCCTGCTGTTGTCCTCATTCGTTCAAAGTGTCTGGCTAGTTCATACTTGGAACAGGTATAAGCCTAACTGTCTGCCATTGAAGTGTTATCTTGTCTGCTCTCGCGCTTTCTCTGTGTTTAAACTTACTATTAAATATAAATATTATAGGTTTATCACACCTCTATATGTGTACAGTTTCCTTTCCTTCGTATGCAATCTACCTTCTCGCTTTTGCAACCTTGCACAAGCGAACCTAAATGACGCCCAATTGTTGTCCATTATGAAGCCTTGTGCCAAAATGACAGTCATGACCCACAACGGAGTGGATGGGGACGTTAGTAATTCCGTGCAAGGAAGACACTTCGGAGGCAATTTGGAGGTACTAAACTAGGAAAATATAAAGGCGATCTTACCGCGAGGTCAAACGCAACGTTTAGCGCTGGTGTACATAAAGTGCCCTACTCCCAATGATTGGACAACTAACTGTGCTTATCAAATTAAATGTAAGGGTTGTACACATGTGTACATAGGCAAGACCGGGAGGGTGTTACGCATATAATGTGCAAAATATCGGAGGCGCATTTCAAGACCACCGACAAACGAGTTTAAATGCCAGGCAGTATTAAGAGACTCGGTGTTGACTGTGCACGCATTCGACACTGATCATCAGATCGAGCAGGATAACGCAGAGATCATTAGGAGGAGTATACGATCAACACCCCAGCGGTTGATGGCCGAGACGTTGGAAATTTCAAAATCGGATAGTTGTGTGAAGAGAATGAAGGGAGTAGAACTTTCTATTGCGTGGCGAGCGTTCTTAGGTCGGTCAGACAGACAAATGTCGGTGGGCAGACGAGATTGGAAAGTGAAACTCGACTCCAATTGTCACCACCATGGGCTTATCCGTCAATGCGAAGAAGCAAAATGGAAAACCTGGATTATTCCCACTGTGATTGAACCACCTGAGGTGACACTAGGAACTCTTACTGTAGTTACACCTTGGCTAAAGTCTCGGGGAATGCGGTTACCGTCCCTGTTGATTATAAAATGCCGCTCCGATTACACACTGATTCATCTGGTCTGAGAAAGCTAATGCGTCAAAACGGAAACCTTCCCACACAACTATACCAACCGATTGTTTCCAAACCTCCGTGATCACATTATTTGTGGTATCAAGTTTGAGCAGCCTACCTGGTTACGATGTTGCATGTTAAGAAGGAACAGCTTTGAAACTGCAAGGACCTCACTGCTGCATGAACCACAACGTGTGTACCGCTCTTTACTACAACAGCAGAAATACAAAACTGAGAGGTTGCACTATGAAACTCGCAGAAGGGTATAGAGGTTTTGAGTACCACAGAAATTTCTTTCCCATCCGTGTATGTCACCTGTGACATGTTCTCCTTGCATTGAACGTTTCTGCACAGATACCAACAATATTTAGAAGGCGGCTAGATGATGCACTCATCAACTTACACTTTGTTACATAAAATTACGTTACCATCCTAAGACTGGAATATACCTAGATTTTTGTGCTGTTACTTGTGAATGCTATGAAACTATGCAGAATGCAGCACCACAGCGGAACTTACGGTAAGTTTGCTCCATACATGTAGCTTTGAATTACTTTCCATTGTGCCAAACGTTGCTCGCGGATCTTAGTAGCATAGGGTTCAAGGTGACAGCCGTGAACTACTAAGGTCTGTGTTCCACCCCAACTCAGGCTATCTCCACCTAACGAGTCCGAACCAGGACAAAACCGCGGTCATGGTGTGCCAGTGTTGGAAAGAGCAATACCCTTGAGATCGGAATGAAGGAGGTTGACCTAAAAGTAAACCGAGGTCTCAATAGAGGGTGCGAATCGCAACCCAACCATACAGCGTGCTCCATAATTTCAGCTTTGAAACGGTAAGTTAATTTCATACGTAATGTACCAATTGTTTGCTTATTGCGTTTTCGTTTACTTCACCAAACTACCCGGCAGGACTTGTAAGGCAGTGCTTCTTAATTTCCGTATAGATTAATTGTACGTTGCCCAAAGTGTGTCGTTAGATGCAAATCGGATGCTTTCTTGCCATAAGCACTTCACTGACCAATGATCACTTCAGGGTGACTCGCGGTGTACTTTGAGATTGTGCGTCGAAATCTTTTCACGCAACGAATACTACTAAATGATTATCGAATGCGTGTCTTTAGCTTTGGCAACGTGGGATACCCACAAATTATGTGGTGTGCGTGAACTCTGAAGGAAGTACGCACATGAGAATTCCTCGGAAACTATTGTTTCGATGATGGAAACGATAAATATGAGTTCGGAATTACGAGAAAAATCTAAGTGATGAATGCACCGGGAATCAGGGTTTAGACGCGCATCAGCCGTAAGTGTAAGACTTGTGA